GAAGCAATAATGTACGAAACAGATGCACAATATGCCTCTTCAAAACTTAAGATTTAAAAAAAATATAAGGAGAAGGGCATGAAAATTTAATTTAATGTTCACCTTAGGTAATTTTGTGTCTTATTGTTCATAGCAATTACCATAAATCTGCATATCAATAAGTGGGAACAGATGCCAGTTGTTACAAGCGCTTGCCAATCAGGTCTGTTAAAAGTGACAGATGGGTGGTTACGGAGCACTCTCCTCAGGCCCATTAGTACCTTTGCAGGAAGTGTCTGCGGTGCGGGCTGCCGGGGACCAGGAAGAACACCGGGTCTCCGTGGGCCCGCGGAGCACACGTCATGCCGAGGCGCCTGCAGCTGGAGCTTCTCAGACCTCTGCTGCACTAGTTTTGCAAATGTCTTCCCTTTTCTCCACATGTGACCGACGCTCAGAGACAATATTCTCAAGGAGCAGGTCTGAAATCCACGATGGGCCACCTTTTTGCTACTTTAAGCAAATATCTGCACTCTACAGTTTTACTGTTAGGTAAAAAATTTAGATTAGTTATTCGAGTGAAAGAGAATTACTTTCAGTTTACTGAGAATTAGAATTAAATAAAGGAATTTCCTCTGTTGATCAATGGGTAATTTCTCTTCACAGCTTCAAATCTGTAATTTGTTTAATAAGAATTTCCCATTCTAGGAAAAAAAATCCCTAACGAAGAACAGCCTATTCAATAAATTAGAAATATTCTGTGGCATGAAGGGAGGTAGTTTGCTGTCACTTTCTGAACTGCTTCCTTTTTAACAATGTTCGGACTCTCTCTTCCTAAGATTTGACCTGTTAAACTACTCCTGTGGACAAATCTCTTGTATTTATGCAAATATACCTCGTGTGGGTGCCACACACACTTTTTCAGTTTAAACTCAGATTTTGGATTAGGCTGAATTGAATCTGGAATTTGGATCCACACCTACTAACTCAGTGACTATGGATAACTTTGTTAACCAACCAAAGCCTCAGTTGCTCATCTGTAAAATGGGACACCGATAGCCCCTACCTCATAGAATGGTGAGATTCGAGGGTTCTGTATCGTAGTCCGTATTGATACAGGAGATAGGGTGTGGCAAAGCTGGTTGGGAAAATGAGCTAGAAGTGCCAGTTACGAGATCCAAGGCAATGCCAGAGCCTCATGCATAGAACTTCTCACGCGCTCTCACGAGATGTGGCTGCGTAACAGAAGACTGGTCATCGCGGGAAGCTGCTGCCACGCGTGAGTTTCCAGGACAGTCCGTGCCGTGCGTGCTCTAACTGTTGCTTTGACCCTCTTTTCTCTTTGGCGCTCGTTTGTGCTGCCGAGCTGGTTTCCCCTATACCCATTCACCCTGTACTTTCCAAATAAACTTTTGACACTGTTTTTGGCTTCTCTAATCCAATTCTTTTTCCAGGCAAGGAGGGTCTGGAATACTTTGAATTAGCGAGCCCTTTTTAAAGGAATTGCCCTATAATAATATTATGTCCCTTTCTGGTGCTTTAGCCTCATAACTTATTTAACCTTTCCATACTTCTGTTTTCCCAAGTGTAATGCGGTAACAAAGTGGTGGTGTTGTCTTTGGCATGCTGTGAGAGTAGCTGTATGATTGTTACAGTGAGCTACGTTAGATACAAACATGTGAAATACTACCCTTGTTTTTCTATCAGGACGATCTTCTGGATGTAATAGTCGCAATAAAGAAACTGAAGATCAAAAAACATACTTTCTCCTTATTTCTTTATCTTTCAATGAAAATCCAGACTCTCAGCCTAAATTCAGACTCCAAATTTCGCAGGTTTCATAAATTCACTGAATGAATACTATCACAGACTGAGAAATGGCCAAGTTTAAAGGTTTAATAGTGAATTAAAATCAGTCAATTTCAAAGAGGCACAATCAGTGTACTTAAAGAATTCAGCTTATCAAGATTTGATCCTAATCCATTTTCTGCTTTTAAATTCCATATTTAGTGAGGGTTTACTTTTATAAAAATCATAAAATACATTTGAAAATATTTTTAGTTTAAAAGGAGAATGGTAAGATTTTTCTGGTAAAAGAAAGTATAGTTGATATCTCTTTTTATTGATGCAACCACTCAGTAACTTCTCATCTAAAATTTTTTTAGTTTTACTTTATTTTCTCCTGAAACAGAAAATGTTTTCTTCACATAGATGGGACATTTTAGGACTCTTCACTATAAACCTCAATCTTCTGAAAGATAGACCATCATGTTTGAGAGCTGTTCACAGCAAAATATTATTGGTTTTCAAAGTATTTCACTCATTTTGGTGATAGCGATTCAAGCTGGACTACTTGAATTTTATATGTGCAATTTATTAATATGCCACTGTCATACATAAAAGTTACCTATGAACTGTGTATGTGCTTACTCTATGTCACAACACTAATCACTCAATAACGTTTTAATATTAGGTGGGATGGGGATAAATGACCTCTCAGAGTCCTTTAATTCTGTTTTCATGTGGCTTCTACTGTATTAGGTATATGCAGTGTGCTCTGTAACGTGTTCTGTATCACACAAATGATCTCCAGATCCTCAGCATCTCATTGATGAATTTACTGAAACTAGTTTATATAATTTTTTCTTTTTAGTTTATACATAAGGCTAAAGCCAAAATTTCCCAATAACTGGGCATTTAATTTTGGAAATGCATCCAAAATACAAACTTATATATGCCAGTTTATAAATGTCTTCATTCATCAATTCAAAAACAGCCAGCCGCGAGAACTTCTCAGAGGACTGTGTGCGGAGTCTCTTGGTCACCAGGCTGGGCCACGCTCTCTTGGAACTCAAACTGTAGCCTGACGCACTGGTGAATGGGCTGCATCCAGGGACAGAAGGGAGGAAGGGAAGGACTTCATGAGAGCACCCTCCCCCATACGGGAGAATTGGGAAAGATGACGTCTAAGAACTAACTCTTACTACCAATCTGCCATGATCACTTCATCACTGGAACAGATTAATTGGCAAGGAAAAAAGTTAAGCCCTGCTTTTGAGACAGAAGAGTAAAAAAGTTCATAGAACTTTTCTTTATTGGGGAAAAAAACACCCCTGACCATAATGCTACGAATACTTAGGAAGATGAGACCTAATACACACACACACACACACACACACACACACACACACACACACACGGGTTACCTCTGATCACCAAGAGCCGTGACACCTACATTGTGAATGTTCTACCATTCCAAACAATGGTAATAATGGACTCTTAGCTTTTGATTTTCCTGTGCACACTGCTAAATTTGCCATTTGAAGGTTCAAGAAGAGGTTCTTTTGGAAAACCCAGAGCATTCACAGAACGCCTTTAAATTAGCCACCTGCTCCACGGCACCTTATAAGGTGATGCCCATGTACCCTTAGTTTTCAAGTGAGCACACAGAACATGTAGATGCTAATACCCTGACCTGTGGCTGGCACAGCAGAGCTGCACACACCCTAACGAAAAATGACAGGCCAGGCTGCCCACCCGGGAAGACATACTCAGCTGTAGCCTCAGGACTAAGTGACCTTCTCCACATAATTCAACTTCGGGAGTGTAAGAGCCCGAGGCTTCCTGTAAGGAAAGCCCCTAATTTCAGAACCGGGTGTCTTAACTACCTGAATATGTGGGAATCTTGGCATTTATTTTACAGCTTGCAATAGAGAGGGATTTTTGCCCTTTAAAAAACATTAAAAAAACCGAACCCGGCTATTTTACTAATGTCTCACCAGTTCCCTTCACAAAATGAAAAATAAATTAACCTTTCACTGTCACTCTTAGCTCTAGTGCCTCCTTCTCAAACTTATTTGTAGATATACTGCAATATTTTAATATTTATCTTTTCAAGGTACATGTTTTTCTAACAATCCAAAAGGTATATTCCATCCGAACAAACTGGTGGTGCCCACAGATTAGAAGCCCGATAAATCATTCCGCAGTGCAGCATTCACCACCGGCCAGTATGTACCACCAGAGACGCCCGTGTGCCACAGCGCGCAGCTGTGCGGGTGATCACAGCACGCGTGTGAGCAGGACCTCACTAAGCTTTTCCAGGTTCATTCAGAGCGAAAACACACACCAAGGATATGCACTTGAAAGAAAAAAGTATTTTCATAGTGACAGATAAATCTGGTTTTTATTTTGCACACTTAGGTTTCATTTTATTGATTCAAGGTGTCCTCATCCTAACATGCCAGAATCTGTTTTTATTTGCCCTCTCCCCGTCTTTTGAACCAAACAAGGAAATATCTTTCTAACCGTCCTCCCAGCAGGCTACTGGCTACCTGTGCTCTGAGTCCTTGCGCAGGCTGCCTGCCTGACCCCGTGTTAGGTGGGTTATCAGCACGGAGGTGGTGCAGGAGGAACGACCCTTCACTAATCCCCGCACCTCAGCAGCTACTGGCCCAGCTCACTGTGACCACGGAGCCTTCAATGAGCTGCTTTTCAAATGCAGGCAGACTTTGATTTTCTCGGGAACAAAGATTTATACTTTCACATAAAAGCTTCTGATGCACAATTCCGTCCACTGGTGCTCTAAAGAAGGTGCCCTGTTAATTTTCTGTCATTATCAAGGGACTACGTTCTGTATCGAACATAGGCCTCCAATCTTGGCTTTCATTATGGAGGTCAGAACATTTTTATTGAGTGCCTATTATTAAAATTTTAGAGGGATGTCAATCACTTTGGCTGCCCTGGGTATAGGAATCTGCTTGGTAATTCCCCTGTAATCAATCCCATTTAAAAAAACTTTACAAATTACAAGAAAGTACAGTATGCAAGAATTCTTAGCTCCTTTATGCAGAGGCAGGACAAGTATTTTGGAGCAGATGATTTCAATTTTAACACCTAAGACAAAGCTAATAGGCCTGGCAATGACTCTTTACTCCCTTTCCCTGATTCTTTTCTCTGTCCCGTCAACCATACAAAATTCATACAACGCATTCGTAGAAGGAAAGGCAAGCTGCACGACTTACCAGCCATTTGCTGAATGCCACTGAATGCACCCAGGTTGCTGGAGGAGGTGGCCTGCTGCAGAAGCTGCAATGAACACACAAGTGGAAAGTCACAACGTGGAGATGCGAACAGAGTAACTTCCTCACTAACCCGGGGGCGAGTTCCATTCCCTTTACATTTATATCGTGGGCTGCCGCAGCCTACTGAGAGCCGAAGGTCCCCGAGCTGGGGCTGTAAATCCATATTAATGTCTAATCTCTGTTAAGAAACACAGACACCGGGGAAGCTCACTAACACTGCTGCCTTAAAACAATTAATCAATTTACTCTTTTTAACAACCAGGTGTTAAATCTATTGAAACCAACGTAGCGTGACTAATTGTATCTCTCTGCAGTCTAGTAGTTACCATAACTCATCTCTGCCAATCAAGGGTCCATTTCCTCCTCTCTTCTGCTTTTCTTTACAGCTCAGTTTTTTTCATTCTTCATCAGAAATGCCTAGATCCACTAACGCTTAGGCCAACACAGAGATTACTGCAATCATTATAGACATAAGTGTATCTACTTAGAGTCGCACCATCGCAGCCTCAGCCATGAGGCCAAAAGAATAGTCAGTCATTTTTAAGATGCTCTTCACTGGCAGAGAAAAAGATACTGTTTCTCAAAACTTGGAATTTTCTGGTGATATATATGTTGGAGCCTATGCATTATTAATATTTCAGAATCTTTGAAAAAAGAAATATCCTTGTGAAATGCCTGTGGAAAAGCATACATTTCCCCTCGCAGCTTTTAAAAACATATTTTTCCTACCACATAGAATCAGAGGGTGCCTCAAGATAAAGGGACGAAGCAGCTGTGCAGAGGTGCTCCTGCCCTTGTTGAACTTTAGGTGAAGTTCAGCGCTAACCTAAATGTTTGACTAGATGTACAGACACACTCTTTTGTAAGATAGGTCAATACAGATACAGTTTGTATGTGGGGGATGTAGTTATCTCATATATTCCAAATACATGGATATCAAAAGACATAACTTTATAAAATTTATTACTGAAAAGTTGTTAGGACACCGTGTGCATTTACTACTTTAGAAATAACTTTCAGAACTTATGTGGAGCTATGTAAGACAATGTAGAATACTGGTGTTCTGTGGGTAGGGACAGGTATCTTCAGTTTAATAAGGAAAACTCAGTAATTGGATATGACTGAAAAATGAGCACCGATCAAATGATACAAAAGCACCAAGAATGGTTGATTAAATCTAAGTCTCAGGGAGAGTGACGTGGGACTAAAACTTGGAAGATGTCTGTACTGTTCCTCCGTCCTCTTAACTTGTTAGAATGCGGGACACACGCTCTGCATGCGTACTCCCCGGGAAGGAGGACACACTGAGGAGGTGGGTGTTCGAGGGCTTGGGGGCTACCCATTTTAATACAGAAACACCTTATTTTGATTTGTTGAGTTTCCTGTTCTCATGTGCTCACGAGTTCTCTCTTCCTCACATTCCATCCTTTTAAAAATTAAAGCTGAGCCCCTGTCCTGTATTCATGCCTGTTGCTACACAACTCGCTTCCCGATTTGATCCCGATTTCATCAATTTTACCTGAGCAATTATACCTGTAATCTTACCGGTTGACCATAGTTTTGTCCCACCTCATGCCCACCTTGCAATTTCCCATTCGAGGATTTGCTTTATAAAAATCCCTAGAAAAGGCAGGGTCCTTGGTAACCCCCTTGGGACTCCTTCTCTCTCTCTCTCTCTCTCTCTCTCTGTCTCTCTCTCTCTCTCAGTCTCAGACAGAAGCTTTCTTTCTCCCAATAAATATATTCTGCCCTTTAAAAAAATCAAAGTTGTACAATTAAATTAGCTTTGAAGATAATCTGAGGCATTGGTAATACCTGCTAAGGTAAGTGGAACTACCTGGAGGGTCATGAAACCATGACTAAGGATTATTTCCATGGATTGCCAATCTTTGGTGAGGCAGGGTCAGAATGTATGGCTCAGCACAGAAGTAAGGAACACCTTCATGGCTGAGAGCCTTTTCAGAGAAAAGACTTTTAAGTAAAGGGATAGAACAGACATGGCTAAGAAAGAAATGTCCATGATCGGAAAAAAACACAGTTTGAGCTTATAAAAACTATTTCTATGAATAAGGCTGAGATTAATTCTTTCGAGTATGAAAGAAATTTACAGATGTGATCACAGAAACATGTGCCAGAGATTTCCGTGTGCTGTGGAGCAAAGGAGATGTACAGAATACTGAGGGCAGGCACATGTGTCTCGGTTCTCAGAAGTGACAAAGCAAGAAGCTGGACTCTCAGAAACTGTGAAAAGCTAAGCATGATGTCAATCTCTGATAAAAATTCGGGTATATATAATTAAACTGCTGGTCTGTAAACAGATGTTTGTGAAAAACAATTTATTAAGCTACACTTGTTTTTTAAATAAAATCTCTAAACAGGCCAAAAAAAGATATGGATATATATATATACACACACATACGATGCACTTGACAAAAATCACTGAGAGTGTCTTTAAGGATAAGATGGCATAATGACCACAGGTGACAGTAAACCTGGTCAGTGCCTTTGTTAATAACTCAGATGAAAACAGGAAAAGCATGTTTCTCACAACCAACAGTGTACTGAAAGGCTATTCCACGGCGGGCCCTGCTGGCCATTGGGGGTGAGGGCGGCCTGAACCGTGAGCTTGATCTCAGAATCCTCAAGCAGCACCACGTCAAGGTGGAGAGCAAATACACAGCTGAACCTCCACCGGTCGTTAGCAGCTGTGTGAACGCAGGTAAAGCTGCTGGTCTCAGCCTCCTCCCTTTCCTCACCTGTACCACAAGCAGGACAATCCCATTTCAAGGTAACAGGGAAGACATTCTACAAACCAGTACAATTTCTGCTACAAACTGAAGGTAGTGGGTGATATAATCTGGAGAGAGACGGTTGAAATGTACAATGACAGAATTAGGACACAACACATGCCTTTGCTCCAGATCCCCCACCAAACTGGAAGAAAAGGCCTAAACTCACAACATGAAATACTGATGAATGTCAAGTCCAGCACTGAGGTTCTAAAACAGAAAAGCGGGGTAGAGGAGCGTGTTTAGCAGTAGCTCCTGTAAAAATAAGAACTCCAGAGTGTTCATTTGCTTCCTCCCCATGTCTGAGGTGGTTACTAAAACGCCACTCTGAAGCTCCCGTGAGAGGTTTTGAAGTCCACACTAGGGGGCGCTACTCTGTCCGGTTTGGATCCCGCAGAGGAACCATCTCAAGTTCTGGCCACTGTCTTTCAGTAAAGCTGACTAAGTGAAATGGGTAATACAAAGGAAATAGGAGACTGTGAAGGCTTAAAAGCTGTAACACATAGAGATGGTTCAGAGAATTGGGTCTGTTTGGCCTGAAATGAGACCTAATTTCTTTGATCTCACATACGTGAAGAAAGAAATATTTTATTTCATCAACACAGTTCCCCTGGGGAGATCCAAGAGCACAGACAGAAAGCTCAGGAGATTTTTAGCTGCGACCCAGACAGCGCACATCCCTTCCTGCCAGCCAGCGCGTTCTCAGCCAGCGCCCTCAGCGTACGCTAATCCGCTCTCAAGCATGTGGTGTCTCTTCTAACACAGGGCGGTAGGATGCCTCCAAGCACTGGTTTGAAGTTTAGCCTACGGAACACTGTTCGTGTTGCTTCAGACAAGAATTACGTCAGCCATGTTCTTAGGCTAATCACTTAACTTGCAAAAATATTCTGCATTTGTGCTGATGTCATTAATTCTTGAGAATCACAGTGTGTGGAGAACGAGTCCCTCTGCACACCTAAGGCAAAAGTAGCTTTCCAGAGTTCCAGGGGCACCACAGGGTTTTCTCCAGCACTTACCGCCAGGTACTGCGGGGTGAGTCCACCCAGCCCCGTCAGGTTCCCCCAGGTGGCAGTGTTGAGCTGCTGCATCTGCTGTGCAAGCTGCTGTTGGAGGCGCCTTTGCTCTTTGTCCTTCTGAGTATCGGCAAACTTCACCACGATAGGTGAAGAGCAGCCCTGCGGTCAGACATTGGAAAGTGAAGAGGGAGTTACAGCTGGTTGGATCCTTTCAGGACAGACAGCGCTGGGTCTTTTAACTATCTGGTAGCGCATGGAATGGTCTGGAATGGTTTAAGAATGGTTTGATATTCCTTCTTCTCAGAACAGTATCATCGAAAGAAAATTCCAGATCTATCATTGGCTGGTGTGGGGGGTCTGGTGCTTGGTCCAGCCATTTGCTTCCTTACTCTGGTCATCAGACTACCTGTTCTACTCTCTTCCCGGGTCTTCCTCAACCTTCCGGGATGCCTTCCAGACAAAAGGCCTTATCTTTAATTAGACCTTATGGCTCCCATGTCTTAAAGATAGCCTCGTCTTTGTCAGGGGAGAAATCAGAATGATAATGTTTCTCTCTCTCTCTCTCTTTTTAAATTACTGTTTCTAATTTCTAATTATGTGTTTGTGAACCTTGGAACTGTGGAAGTCATTAATCCAGCAGTAATAGGGAGGAACATGGACGAAAGGAGGAGATAGAAAACACTGGCACTGAGCAAAGTAATAGTTCACGTTTTCAGGGAGGTCCTTCTTCTTCTTTCCGTGGCACAGCTACTCTATCCCAAATCCTCAGAACCACGGCCAACCAAAGGAACCAGAAGCACAGTCCAGTGGGGACAGACACAGTGTGTCTTAAATGGCAGGAGGAGGATTCTACTTGGTTTCTTTCCCTAACAATCTTACCATTCTAGCAGATTCTTTCAGTTTTAATCTCCGTTAAGAGGCAAGGAGTGGGGTAGTGAGAAAGGAAAGGCCAAAAGTCATAGAACAGGATGAATTCATCTTCGAGGTACACAACATTCTTCAGGGAAAGTAACAGCCTAGTATTCCGAGCACAGTCCTTCCCAAAGCACGTCTGAAACATCTGCCACTTGGTAACGTTCCTTCCCCAATCTTCTCTCCTTCCCAGTGTGGCTCGCCTGCACTTCCCCTCACCATTCAAGCTGTTTCATCTTGGGGAGGTAAAAGGGAGTAATTCTCCCCGATGATTAAATAAAAACTTTTATGGAAATTCAGCATGATAACAGACTCCTCTCCTCTCCTCTCCTCTCAGAGATGTTACATGACTGTTTAACTGTGCTGTTTGCTTCCATCCCCTTTAGGTCAGTTTTCTTTCTTCTAGGAAACAAACTTGCATATTTTCTTTATCACCTTGGGTTGTTATTTGGGGAGGTAGCTACAAATACATGCTATCATCATGTCTGTTGTTTTTTAAAAAAGTGAAGAAGGTGAGATGTCTACTTCAATGTTACATTTGTAGCCTAGGAATCTTCAGCTCTGGTAGGCAGAGTCACGGTAGAGAATGTTAAATGTCAGTCAAGTGCATAAAAATAATGATTCTACCATTAAAAAACCCTGTAATTCATTTTTCTTTATCTACCCTGTATCTCAGCACTCCATTACTTTAAAAAGAGCAAAATACTTTGAAGATGGAAATTATGTAGAGAAGGGGTTTGTCACGAAAGAGTTGTTATTGTCACATCAAAAGTGTTACATAACACATGATAGCATCTCCTAACAGTACATCTGTTATTTTTTCTTAAATGCTAAAAAAAAGATATAAAAGCAGAAAATTGACCAATGATTATGGCTTTAAAAGTGCCTTGTTTACATCATGAAAGAGAAAAACGAGTGGGGATAAGGGGAGAGAAGTGGAGAAACAGAAGTTTCCCTATAAAATAGAGGACTTTATTCTTTTACTGTTCAAATCATCTTAAATCAGAGAATGCAGCTTGGCTGAGGGTGTGTGCTAGGTGCTGACAATAACGGATTCAGTTTAAAAAGCCAAGCAAGCAACTTCAATTGCACAATTCTAAAGTAACTGCATAATTTTATTTAAATGTCAGTTTTTTTATGAAGGTGTCTGATGGCTCTTTTGTTTGAGTATGGATGTCCAGTTTTAAAAATAACCAAATTTGATTTTCTTATACCAGAGATATTAATAAGGGATCAATTATTTCTTAAGAATAAATATACCCCAACCCCCAGCACAGATCTGTCTGTTATGAAGCCTTTTGTTTCTTGGTTTTAGTTCATGCCCAGTTCTGCCTTATGATCTCCTCTTCTGTGGGAATGCAGGAAAGCCAGATCTCATCAGCATTCTTGGGCCTCACTGGGGGGCGCTCCGAGGGAAGGGATATTTCTACTAGTTGACCGAATTTAGGTTAAAAAATTACCTAAGGAGAGACCAGTTTGGGTATAAAGCTCTCAATTACAGGAAATAAAAAAAATTAAGAATCAAAGCATTTATGGAAGACAAGTATATATATAACCCCCCAAGAGTTCTTAGATTTTAATCTCCATGCTGAAAAATAGCTGGAAATCCACAAAAATGGAGCAGCCTAAGAAAAAGGGGAAACCAAAACATTATCACATATATGACTGCATGTTGTACAAGACTGCATTCCTAGATATTTCAAATCCTGCTAATTATTTCCTATCATGGCCGATTTTCACCTGAGCTTGCCTTCAGGTGGGGGTTGGGGGTTGGGAGTGTCTTAAAAATGCATTGCACTGAAAGGAAAACACATCGATTATATAAGGTATGTTAGGAATATCAAAGTCAAAATGAATATTCATAAAAGACAGTAGGCTTTGCAATGCTGATATCACAACTCAGAAAAGTACAGTAAACACTTAATGACAATGCCATGCACACTCCTTCCCTCCTTTCCACCCACCTTTTGATTCATTAGAAAAAATGTTGCCCAGAAAACATGACGCATATGATCACTTCGCTCCCAGCATGCTTTGGGAGAGGCAGCATTGCAAAAAACAACCAAAAACAACCAAAAATAAATAAAATCCCCAAAAATGGAGGCAAAAAGAAGCTCAAACAAATTTTTTGCATGTTAAATAAAGCTGAAAATATCTTTTTTTCAAAATACGAAAACGTAGCTTCAGATAACACAAGGCCACCACCTCCAGAGATCACCCATACACAAAGATACAATGTACGTAGTACAGCAGAACATGCACTCCCAAGTGATTCTTTCAGACAGTACAGAATAAATAACGGCATATCACTCTTGGAATGCTTTTGTGCAAAATTCTGAAAGGCCATGACCCAAATCACAGACTAAAAGTACAGAGCCATCTATCTGTAGCTGCAGTTGAACATCCACACCTGCGGATTGCTCGTTCCCTAAAGTTACTCTTTCTCATTAGAAGACCAAATCTGAGCCTTTATGTTCCTTGCTGTTGATTTGTAAGCAACGGGACAAATCTAGTTTTTCAGGGGACTCTTACAAAGTGGCACTTAACTGGTAAGTGGGAGAAGTATTAACTTTCTCCAGCGTTTCTGAGATACAAGGACACAATTCTGTCTGGCTACATTAACGATCCCTTGACCCTGCACGGCAAGCAGCAATTTGGGGTTGGGGCTGTTATGTTTAATCCACACCAACCCTACAGCGGGGAACGTGTTTAATCCTTTAGGTCCAGAATGACACTTTGCTTAAAGTGTCTTATGATTTATACTGGAGGACCTGTGCCGCTTCAATAAAAGGCTCGAAAGATAGCTGCAGAGCAAGTGGAAGGTTTTACTAAATGCATTTCAAGTCATTAAGGGAAAATGCAGAGAAAGAGGTGGGAGGGGGAAGGGAGGAAGAGAGAGCGGGGAGAGACAGAGAGAAGATGAATATGAATGAATGAATGAAGAGTGAGATGGTGAAAGTTTAAATCTGTGATTGTCATGTGAACAATCCACACAGGAGAGAATTGCTTTACCATTCCCCATCATTTGCACAAAGAAAACAAAGAAAGGGCAGATGATACAGTACCTCCATGGTCTGAGACTGATGCATGGCTTTGATTGCATTCTGTGCCATTGCCCTTGTAGAAAATGTGACAAACGCACAGCCTGTGGGAAACAAGGGGACAGGGAGCAGGAAAGACAAAAAACAACAAGACAAAAGGGTTGGACGCTTGTTAAACCAACACAGTCTACGAGAACTGCCACAAGACGACACTGTTCTCAGTAGTACATAAAAATAAACAACTTCTCTCTTTGGTTTTATCTTATTTTGCTTTTTATTCAGTGCTGACTTGCTAATCTGACCAAAGCAGAAAGATTTATTTGTTAGTTTATTCTTTAAATGGAAACTAGGGGGGGGAAGCTGGATACTTTTTTTAGCCACAGGGTTTGAAATTAGCAAGATCTACTTTGCATTTTCTAAAATAAAAAGTTGCTTTTTCCATGCTCTCCTTGGCTGATGATCTTTACACCGAGGGCATTCATATATCAGGGCTTTGTATTTCAAATTTTATTGCTGATTTTTAAGGAGTAAATAAGAAAATCTCCACACTAATGGCAAAGTAACAGATTTCAGCAGCTCAAAATGCCAGCAAATAAATATGTCTAATTCCTTTAGGGTAGTTAAAAAAATCGGTATGTTTAAGTTTACAATATTATTCAAATGTAAACAAATATACCAAATCCACTACGAACTATTAAGCAATTAGTAATTGTTAATAAAAACGAATGCTTTCTTACTCTGAGAATATTCGACTACACATAAAATTTGAAAATTTGCATTGGATTTGTTTGTCATAGATCTTCATGACTTTTCGTAATTGTGACTTCCTGAAAGGCATGAGGTGCTTGATCTATAGCCTACCATACGTAAGGCAATGTACATTTTTGGGAATGCCTACTGGGAGACCTGGGAGCATCCCATGTTCGCTTTCTTCTGTGTGCTGTAAAATAACTAGAATCTGTAGTGCCAGTCCCTGCTGCCCGTAGCAGCACCGGCCACCGTGCAGGTCACTGCTCCCACTACACGGCTCATTGCCCTTTGCACTAATAAAAGCACTGCCTTTGGAAATTTACATTTTGTTCATCATGCACCCTTGGGCTTCTAAGAGATAAAGACTGTGAAATTAATGCAGATTTAGGATGATTTTATAATAATACCACAGCACACTAAAAGCTCAGCTAAAGCAATACAGACTTATTTCACTTATGATCTCTAATGACTTTAAAAGTGCATTGATTTTCAGCTTCTTTAGCCTTGCACAGTTTGAACTTAGGTATCAGAGGATAATTTAGTGTTCCACTCAATTTCCTCAAAACATTATTATTATTACTACTTAAAAGATTTCCAAATGAAGCAGATCTAAATACTGAGAGGCAGAAGCCTATTGTCATTTCAGAGTGAATGCATGAAAGCAGATTTCTGGCATCAACAATATGAGATTGTTGTCCCTGTGGCCAATAAGCAAGATAGAACATTCTACATTCCAACAATCAGTAGATTGCTTGGTTTACGTAAATCAATTTGTGAGCCACAAAATGTATTCTCTTTTGCTCTGCGTGTGTACCTGGTGAGATTATCAAGTCAATACTGTCGTAGCACTTTTTAATCAAACAGCAATAAGAGAAAGCAGCGCCTACCCACTACCCCCAACGCACAGTGACATCCAGTCATGAAAATAAGTCAATGCATTTTTTTTTTTTTGCTTTTCCATCATGCTGTAGTTTTGATAAAACTCTCTGTACATGGGAAATGTATGTCACATTCACCTTCTGGTTAAGTTGGGCTCAGAAGCCTGAAGTCTAGCTTGCCACGAACGTCGAACCACTTCATATGCAGCCACGGCAGGGTGGCGGAGGAGGTTTACTATTTAAACACGCTGACTGTACCTAGACCAATTGTAGCTTCTGCCATCAATGAAAGCAACTGAGTGGCCTTCTCTAAGGCATCTTGACGATGTGTGTAATAGAGTGTGAGACAGATGACAGTACCTCTCCTGGCTTCCACGCCGATGCTGAGGTCTTAAATGACAGAGTCTCAAATTTACCATCTGTTTCCAGCAATGTCTCTTCAGAAATGGTGTGATCATTGCCAACATTATTCAGGAGAAAGAAGAGTGAACTATTTTATTTTTCTATCTCTTGCCTTTCTCGACTCCAATGGAGGCAAAAGCCAACCATCTAATGAAGATATATCTGAAACATGGGAAGCCTGGACTAACTCTGCTGTCAGTAGTCAGGAAGGTTGTTACACTCACTTCATTACCTCCTATTATCTGGGAACACGGGCCAAACTGACAGTTTCCAAACAGAGGTTAAAACGCTTCAAAATATGTAAAATGTCAATAAGAATCAATAAGGCAAAGTTTATACATTTACAACTTCATACAAACAGAACTTTTCTAAGTAACTTAGAAAGATACAGCAGTTAGCAGGTCTCAGGAGAAGAGTATTAGCAAAAGAACAATAAAGTTAAGTCTCTATAAAGTCAAACGATTGCCCTTTCCTCTATGAAACCTGCAATTAAAAATCCAACTGATGCTTCTAATTATGCAATCTACCTCATCCAAAAATGTTCTGACAAGTTTGATGACTTCTTTAACCTTTTAATTCATTTGGCAATAGTGCAGGAGGAGACAAGTTGTCTCCTTGGGGGCTTCTGACAGGCTCTGTACTGTGTGCTGTGCTCAGTTACTTAAGAGAAAAGAATTACTGAGTCATTTACAAAGGGGGAGTGCATGTTCACAACTTTCCCTCTCTATGCCACTCCGTATGAAGTTAAGCAACTCCAGAACCAAATGCTTCTTGGAAGAGTAGCTTGTTAACCTTTGTAATTTCTCTAAAACGGGAAATTTCTGGACAGATTTTAATTTTTAATACCAGTGCAAACACAGTGGTGGCTTCAGGATTAGACTTCCAATCTGTGGTTTTTTACTAACATAGACCCACACGAGCTTCTACCATTGAAACTGGGGCTGACTTTTCTCACAAACCAAGTAGAAGGCTTTCCATTGGACAGAAATACCTTAGGTCATAACTGGTCCCTTCTTTTACTAAAAGTGAGCTTTTTTTGTGCAGTGGAGTTCACTGGGTGTTGACAGACATAGCTCTGATCTTGTAGTGTCTCAGCTTTTAACTTCTTGTGGACTGTTGAATGTGCTGTCTCAGCAATCTGTTCTCTGACAACTGACCAAAATGCTGTAGGAATTAAGACTGTGGGGGCGTGGGGGGAGATGTGGGCATTAAAATAATGAAGCTGTATTTTTTCTTTGCTTTCGGCATGATAGCAGAGGTATATTTCTGTCTAAACCCTATAAATAACAGCAAAAGACAAAAAAAAAAAAAGAATAAAGAAAGAGGGCCATCTGTAAATGTGGTCAACCTGTAATTTACCTTGCAATTAATTATTATCTCTACTTTTAGAATGTCAGAGACTATGAACTGAAATGAAAGGAGTTGAGTTCGTCTTATTCCAGGAAGGTTGCCTTTTTGCTGCTAAAACAGATGGGTGATTGACTGGGGGAAGGTTTGGCAAAGCAATTTCCTCCCACAGACAGGATCTGAGGAAGGCATGGAGCCCTGTCACAGAGAAGATTTTGGAACACATCTATTACACTTGTCATTTCAATTGAAAAGGTATCTTGAGTCAGGTGTTCTACTTTTCTCTCAGCTGTAAGAGAATTTTACAGAAGTAGATAAATCCTTGCTCCACACCAAAGGGGGGAAAATATAGGTACTTCTAAAAGCCAGAACAGTGCCACGGCCTCTGCTTTTCTGCTCCTCCCATGAAAGAGGTGCAGCAGTCCGCTATATTTTAACAGAAATAAGCATAATTTAAAATAACTTGGGCAGGTGAAGGAGATTTCAACCTATGGGACACTTGTTTATAAACTCCTATCGGCCAAACAAAGATAATAATACAGCCAATTTGATTGCCATGTCTTTTTAGTAGTGCTGGACTGGTCAGATAGGTGGTACCAGTATTTTACTGGGACATAAAAATTAGTCTTCTGAGGCACGAGCCTCAGTGCCCAGTGGTTTATTTCGTATTGGCACAGAGGCATAACTCATTGTACGGCACCTGATGCTGGGTGCAGACTAGGACTTATGTAACAGTTGGCAAAATCTTATCACTAATGAGACTGGGAGACTGTAGTTAGCAAAGATGGCAAAATGCAGTCAGTAATGCAAGATGTATATGATAAAAAGTCTCCACATATCTGAAAGTTTAGGTGTGAAGGCAGGGCCAAACTGTTATCAAATTTGAGTTTTGTCCGGATACAGCAAAAACAAATGAGGATTTCATGGCTAAATCCACTCTGTGCTCTCCAGCATCACTGAAAATATTGCCAATTCATGTCAAGGGTTTTGGCAGGAGAATGTTGAACACCATAAACACAGCTGGAATATTCTTAAACAAGCAGAAAGTTACCTTACATGGTGGTGAAGATTTGACTACATTTTGTGGGAAAGAAAAATGAAGTAAACTTCTTCATTGTTTCCAAGTTACAGATACTCAATTGCCATGGTGCAGAGAACTCTGTGGGCTGTATCCAAACAGTCCACTGCAGACTGTAAGATTCGGGTAAGTGGGAACATGTATATTTTAGGAAATCAACATGCTAACGTGACACTGTCAAATAAATACATTTACTTAAGAAACCTCAAGCTTTGCTTCTGACAGTAAACATCTCATTTCAGTTGCAATAGGTGGGAGCAGGGCACCCCGCTTATTTGGTCAGCGGAGGTTCACGGTGAGGGGCATCCAGACGTAGTTACTATTGCAGCAGGGTCTGAGTATCCCGAAGCTGCCTAAAGCATCACAAATCATGTTTTCCAAAACAGAAGAGATACTGGAATGGGCTACGGTCTCCAAAGGGCTAACTGCATAGTTAGAGGTGGGCATACTGGCCAGAGCGAGGAAGAGCCCTCCTTACTTGCTGAGTAGCTTCATGCGCTGGGCAGGAGCGAGGTGCTGGCCAGGTACACAGGCATGCCAACTTCCTGAGGGGGTCTTTCCTGAAACATGGGTGGTGCGGGTGAGTGGTGGGGGGACTTCTAAAACATTCCATCTGGCCAATATGCAGGCCCTGATTTTTACTTTCTAAAGACAGAGACTCTAACCGAAAGGATAGTGGAGCGTGACAGGCACAGGTAGGGGCCCTGATAGCCTCCCGTGGGGTGCGGTGGGGTACTGAGTGAGCGAACTCAGACACTTGAGCACGTGGCTCCTGGGGAGCTGAAACCACTGATGTTTCACAGAACCAGCCAGCTGGACTACCTGCCTTCTTCGTCTTCATTCTTACAGCTGAACTGGGCAGGAGAAAAAAGTGAAACACTCCACTCGTTTCACTCTCATTATGATCAGACGGTTCGACTGGGAGACTTTTTTGTGATTAGTTGGTACCCTGGCTTTGTATTGGGAGATACTTTCTAGAGGAGTCAAGCCTTTGTTTCACTTGATTGTTATTTATTTATTTATTCATTTATTTCCTAAATAGCTGAGCCAGCAGTAGACATTGAGAAAAGAAATGTTGAGTGTTCTTTATCTGCGGCATCACTAATAGGAGACACTTATTAATGTTTGATTGAAAACAGTAATTCTTTAATGAAAGCAGAATAGTAGCATGAAAGAGAATTGTTCTATTAACAAATGCACTGATTCAGGAGCAGGCCTTGATAACCAGGCGTCTTTGGGTCCTGCTAATTGAAAAACGTACCACTGTATGTCTTTATACTCAGAATAAATGGCTATAAATGAGTATTTTCTTTTTTTCCAATAGGGAATTCTCATCAGTTCACCAGAAATTACTTTTCTGTTAAAAAAAAAAAAGGAGAGGGGTATTCTCCTTTTTACACAGAACCAGTATTTGCATAAAATATTGATGAGAGGGCTCCCATAACTTGTTTCAGAAATAGCCTGCTTCTGGTGTCAAGTGCTGGTTAATCAACTGAATGGCAGATCAAATTAGCTAAAGTTCTGTTAAGTACCGTGAGTCCTGCTCTTTCCCATGAAAGTTGTGGCTGTTTTAAAATCTTATGTGCAGAGATAACTAATGTATGCTTAAGGAACTCGAAGTGCAGGGTGGTGTTGTTCCTCAGCCCTGTCCCCTTCGACGGACTACGACCGTGAGAGGAAGAGCCACTCCGTAAGTGGACCAGGTCAGCCCGACGCGCAGGGAGGTCTCAGTGAACTGTCCTCCATGCGAGGTCTCTGTGAACTGTCCAGACATTACGTGTAGACAAACAGCCACCGCACTACTAGTCAATGACTCCCCGGAGTAAAACAGGGCAGATATTTTCACGGCTGTCATTTAAAATGGGTAAACTAAAGGAGAGAGCTAGGAAGAGGAACTGACTAAGGTCACACGTCATGTTAGAATTGGGACTTGGGGTCCCTGACCTCTAAGCCACTATGCTTAAGTGAAGGGCCTTCCCTTTGGTGTATTCGCCATACTGTACGCCTTGGGGAATGACCAACGCAGCGATGACGCTGAAGTGGGCCTATGAATAACAGAAGACAACAGGGATCTATTAAACTGGCAGCAGAAAGGGGATTAAAAAAAACACTGCCATGTCTTCCTACATATTTTGCTCTTTCAGCCTCCTTGCCTTGTCCGTGGTCCTTTCTCTCCTGGTGTGTCTGCCTCAGTGGATGGGTGAAAAGAATTAGACATACGAAACGACTGCCGCAGAACCGACGGTCGGATGTGGCTAGGTCTGCTGGCTGAGCTGGCTCCGCTGGGGCACCTGCTGTCCTCCTGCCTGAAGGCTACGCTGTTGTCAGAACAATGGGCTGTTGCGGGGGCCAGTAATGCAGCACAGGAGATAAGCTACAGACGAGCCTCAGGTAACGGAGCTGTTGTTCAGCTTTTAGAGAATCGCATCTTTGAAGTGAGGATGAAATAACAAGGATTTCAGAATTTGTTAGAGAACGCATAAACTGTTACTTCCACGTTGCCCTCCTTTTTCTCCCCCACCTTTACAAGTGGGGTGCTGTTCCACCTCCTCTTGACTTTCCTCTAGACTACCTCTACTCTGGGGCTCTGGAGGCGGATGCAGGTGGAACATTTGTTCTCTGGGGCTTTCATTCTAGCAGCTGACATCTTGATTCTTCATATCCAAAAATCAAAACAACAAATGTTCTTGCTCACACGATGCTGAAATTAGGTAAAAGTAGTGAGGCAGGTGAGAGTAAGAGCCTAATTACTTACAGGCTGACTCTATCAGAGTGTGGCTTGGGTGCTCGGGTTGGCCCAGGCTCAGAGCATAAGAATTAACAAGATCCTAATTAGCCCCACAGGTCCTGGCACTACTAGAGAGCAAAAGCCTCTCCCTGTTGCGAAAATATGTGTTTCCAGCGAGAAGTGGAAAACATTTCATGTATACATTTCCACTTGGGACTGCCTCTGGGAACTGCAGCCAGTAACTGTACCGCTCAGGGCCCGCCTTTGCGAGCGGCTGAAGGGAAGAGGGTGCCGACTTGCTAAGGGAAGACCAACAGAAGGGTGATCTCCCACTCTTCTGCATACCCGCTTGTAAAAGTACTCATCACAGCTCTGAGCCGCAGCTTTTGGCTTTATCATGGAGGCAGGGAAGAACCTACAGTGTTTTTCAGGACAAAGTCATTTTTCTGTTACTTAAAACACCTCCCTGGGATGCGGACTTCAGAAGCTTCACTCTTTGACACAGAACTCTAAGATCTTGGACAGGCCGAGGTATCCTGAGCCCGTATCTTCCCAGCACTGCACAGGAGCACAGCAGCAGGTGTCTGGGCTTGGACTGTGTGTGGAGAGGACCATCCCCTTAACGGTGCTTTCAGGCCCAGGCACCGAGTCAGGGGATGAAGGTGAAAACAGCAAATATCAGCTCATCCTGCTCATCTCTTGCTCAGCCCTCATCTGCTTCAATCTGAGGCTGGAAGGGGACAGGCAGTGAGAGGGCAGCCTGGCAGCTTCCTCCGTGACAGTAACACCCTGAGCCAATCTGCTGGCACTCAGACCTTCTCGACCTGAGAAACAGAAGGTGATCACTTCAGCGAGGGTGGAACGCTCAGGATGGGTAACTTTACCACATGGGGCCCTCTTCACCTCTGCTGCATGCGGTGCCTACGTCTACCTTGGCTGTGACACGGAGTTCTAATCAGCACTTTAGGAAAGAGACTTTACACACAGCACCCTCACCTCGGCTCAGCCCGTCAGGTCCCCGGAGAATCCGGCATTCTTCTATCTGGCCAAACGGAGAAAACATCACTCTGATATCATTCTCATTACATTTCTTCGAAACCATGCCTATGAACAATTTTCTGTCTTCCACAGCTAGGAGGTAAAAACAGTGAATGAGAAAAGGGTTCGTCACCCCATCAAACCAGCGCCCCATGGGAAGCTGAGTGATCTCCATGCTGCCTTCCTCCCTCTCGCCCCGTCCCGCGCCTCTCTCTTCCCTGCCCTTCCCGAACACTCCATCTCTCTTCAAGCCACTTCGTACTAATATGATGAATTCACAGGATATAGAACATTGTGAAACGTTTTTTCCCATTCAGGAGTCAACAGTAGTGTTTACTAAGATTGTAAAATACTTATGTAATTGTCAAACACTACTATTCCACAGAGACATTTTTGAATACATATTTTACTTTGGGCTTTTTGTAGATGTTCTTTAACTCTAGAGACAAGAAAAGAGAAAGATCAGGAGAGAAAAAGCAACAGGAGCAGATGTAGTAAAACAGCTAAATAACTTTAAACCGAGCATTCAAGGGAAGAAAACATCTTTTTCTCCCTGTTTCAAGTAGGTTAGTCCCCACTGATCTAAGTAAGAGTAGCAGATCAGAATCCCATTTCTCTGGAGAGCCTCCTTCCACAGGCAGTGGCCGTGAGATGCTAACTAGGTTCCTAAGTGGGTCCCTAACTAGGATCTACACCTGGTTCTAGTCAGCCAGGCTGGTTGCAACTGCAGGGGCAGCCAATGTTAATCAGAGAAGCTGGCTGGTGCTACTTGAGGATCACCTCCAGTGGCTGCAGGCTTCTTGTGAGACACTAAGAGCAGGAGGGAGTGACACTATTCCAACAACTTGAGGGTTGGATATTTGAAAGGCAGAGACACCCTTTGAGTATTGTAACAAGAAGACTTCCAAACTGGAACCTAACAAGGGAAAGACAAGGCAAGCTCCACTTCTGATGACCTGTGAGATTTTCCTCAAAACCTTTGTGCTTAGAATACATGACCTATATTTAGCCTGAACAAGGCAAGGTTATAACTGATTTCAGGACAGTGCTTGAAGGTTTTTTTTTTTTTTTTAAGGACATCAGGAACACCCATGGGGAGAACTCCCTCCCCCATTACATCATTTTAATCCATTCTTAGAATTAGAAAAGAAAAGGATAGCCAGCTGCCCTCAGAGACTAGAGTCCTGGCTTAGGGTAAAGGCCGTGCCACAAGTCAGTGTGTGTAAACTTTTGTTCTGAATCTGTGTTGTAATCCTGCCACTGCTATTTAGTTGGCTTTTATTTCTGTTTCCTTTAGTCCTTCTCTGGATAATGTCTCATTTTCATTTAATCCACGAGCATTTCCTTCAGCCTTGGAGGAGTCCTGTATCTGTGCTGTCTGCATACAGCTAAAGCCGTGTGCGGTGGCCGATCACTTATGTGATGGAGGAATTGATTTTTTAAATGTAATTTCATTTTAATTAATTTAAGCTTTAAAAGTTCTAGGTAACTACTAGCTTGGGTGGCACAGCTTTGAAGGAATAACCGAGTCGGCTAAAATTCTGTTCCAGACTGGAAAGAAGAGACTTGAGAACCATTCTGTCTATCTGTAAAATGGATCCCCGAGGCCTTGGCAAAGGAAAGGATTTATCCAGATCATCCAGCAGATATGAGGTCTAACCTGGACCACCTGACTCCCTGCCTCCATGCTCAGGGTTCTTTTCTGTCTACTGTGTTTCGAACCAGTTTAGAGGACACAGAGGACGCTTAGCGGGGAGAGCAGCAGCAGGGACAAGATCTGGTTCTAGTTCCGGTGCCGCTGCTCACTTGATGTGTGACCCTGGAACCGTCTGACTCCTAGGCCTCACTTCTGTCATTGATCTGATGAGTGTTGACACTCTTTTCTTTTTCTTTCTCTCCCGAACACTGTGGAGAAGGCAGCCCAGCCCTATGCTTCCGTCCATGCAGCGCCTGGGGGGTGCACTGCGGGAGCGGGTGCAGAATCCTTCCGCTCAGTCTCCACACGCAAAGGCTCCTGAGCTAATGCAGAGAAGCTCTAGGGCCCCTGTGAGGTCCTGAAGCTGGACCGTAAGGAGCAGGGTCGGGTCTGCACAGACCGGCAGTGGGAGGGAAGAAGCAGGCACTGCCTAGGTAAGCCAAACTGCACTGGGAAATAAGGGGATTACACTGAGGGTACACAGAGGAAAAGTCTGAACTGAATATGGCACGCACTGTTCGCTCTTCATCTCTGGAGGATCACTGAACAGGGGAGACAGTGGGCTCGAAAGGTCACTGCTTATGTTGAGACTTAACGTAGATCGAACAGCAGAGTGACGGACGCTGAATCTTTGCAGGGCGGTGGTTGCGTACCTGACTTCCTACATTCACATGAAAGGTTTTCAGTCAAAGTTCCTTGCACTGAATAGGTGAAGCCACCTTCAGTACATGAAGTACCAAGGACGCATTCTGAACTGCAAGAACCTGCAGTCACGGGCAGCACGGCACAGCTAAGAGTCAGAAGCCCTGGCCAGGGCTCTCTTCACTGCGGTCCCCAACACTGGGACGAACAGAGGCTATCTATGACGGGGCCTCCTTCACACAGGAGGCTCCCGGCGCGAGGACGTGGCATTCGCTCGAATGGGCCAGCGAGAGGGAGACGAGTGGGACTGGCCGCACGAGGCAGAGGAGGGAGGAGAGGCTGCTGGTCTGCTGTTCTCACTCTACCTGCTCGTCTCCGAGACTGCTATCTCCAGAAACGACGACTGGCATCTTTATGAGAATAAAAAAATTCTTGTATTTATTCTTACCTCAAAGAACTGGTTTTAGTTTTTTAAATAAAAGCAAATGAAAAATTCCCACTTGGCCCCTGATTTCACTGGTAAACCTATAATTATGGTATTAAGCTAAAACAATTCACAGGTTTTGAGCTCCGGGGTAATGCTACAGTAAATTAAATATATAGCTCCTGAGCAAGTTAAAAAATAATTTTTTTTCCTAAGATGGATATTAAGAAAATGGATACCACCTATGAGGGAATCCTGCCTTCCCAGCCGTCAAGATGGATAAACTCAGCCTGGCAGAGAGAAGGAAGATAATTCACATTTTGAAAAGTAAGAAGGATTAGCTAGAGGAAAAAGAAAAGGAAACATATCAATCATGTTACTTGAAACGCTCGCTTCTTCCTGTTCTGCGTGGGCTGACGGACGTGTGGGCATGCAGGAGGCTGCACATTCTCAGTGTTTCACTAGCCAAAGTTGTTCTGTGGCCCTAACACTTGGGTCATGACTACTTTAAGGACAAAACTGAGGGTGATCACACATATCCTGCTCACTTCTCCGTTGTGTTTTTCCCACTGCCCAGGGAAAACTTATTCATAAAGTTTATTCCCAGGATTCTTGTTCTAAGGATTCTTAACAGGGTTGTGAACATTCTGAATAAATGTAAATATCTAGAATTCACTTAATTTTTCATCACTTTTTAATGACTGTTGGTTAGTCTTTCTTGAGTATTCATTGGCAGTATCTCACTTATTTTTTTCAATCTATGAAAATGTGGATTGCTTAAGTGAACCTACTGTACTGGTAGTAGTCTGCTAGGTGCTTTAGGGGAATAAAATAGAAAGAACTAAAAGTTAAGGCTGTTGCCCTCTAAGGGAAAAGATGCACAAGGTCTGGTCTCCTCCATCAATCTCAAGAGAAACAAGGACTTCCGCACTAGTGGCCACTTAAAGTTCTCCTCTTAAGGCATAAGAAAAGGTTAATATTTCAAGTATAAGGGTGACTTTTTAAAACTAGAAGAATAGAAACTTTTTAAAAATATCCTTAATTGTAAGTCTGTGCTAACACCCTGGTGTACAATCTGTCAAAGTCACACCTGGATTTGGGGCTGCCTGAATTAATTAACAACTTTTCAGTGTGTTAGTGCTAACATATGGCATTTAATTACTGCCTCCATATCCGTGAGTCTCTCCACTTTGAATTTCAAAATTATTTCATCTTCCAGTTGGTCAGAAAGTGATGGATTTGGAAACACCCATGATTCCTGTTTCTAAGGCAGGCTTTGTAGGTCTCCACCTACCCTGAACAATATTTGGGTATCTTTTCTCTTGCTGGCTCTGAACTTGATGCATGAATACTGCAGGTTTTGGAGGACTTGAGCAAAAACAGACAGTGGTCTTAAACAGCATTTCTGGATTCTAGGCTTTCAGGACCCACCCAAGTTGTGTGGTGGGAAGGTTAAAGCAGGAAGGATTTACATGGCATGTTTACTGGTAAAAACAATCCTCCCTGCAACAAGAAGCATGACATTAACAGTCCACACTGGGTCCAGCCACTAGGACCCAAGCCAGAACCAGAGGCAGTCTCAATGCTTCTCCTGTCATTCCCTGCTAGACTATCTTCAGCAACTGCTTGTAAATATTGTGCAGCTGGCACTTTCTACTGCACAACTATAGAGGATTAAAAGCAGGATGGTTTACAGAATAGTATACAGATGGTACCCAGAATAAAAGTATAACTGTGTTTGTGCTAGTTCATGTGAATATCCTAAATCTGTACCTCCTCAAATGTCCTTGTATCATCACTCAATTTGCTGCAGTGGAATAATAGCAAAAAGGTTAGATTCTGTTGACAGTGAGGTCTTTCAATGTGCTCTCCTTAGGGTTCCTGACATTTTATTATTTATCTAGAATTTATCTAGATTTTTTGTTTTTTCTTTTAGAACCTGGCAAAAAAGAAGCACAGGGGAGGGAAACAAGATGCTGTGAGTTTGCGTAGAAGTGCTAGAGGCTCTAGCTTAAATCAGAGCCAACTGAAAGGCCAAGTTATAGGAAGGCACAGAATTAAGGAAGCCCATTCAGTAAAATCTGGAAGTGCAGGGTCGATCTAAGAGCAATCTAACAATTCTGGTCTCACTACAGAGGTTCTCTTTATTCGAATCTCCAGATTGGTAAGGGCTTCAGAGGGTGATTGCATTTCAGGAATTCATCTGTCCATCACTAATTGATCTGTGATTAGCGGTCCTTTCTTGCTCAGCAAATGTGAAGTTTCAAAAATCTGAACACACAGATAATGAAGACAGTAACTGTCTAACTGTGATGAGTCCTTTGTGCTATGCATAAATGTCAGCAAACTCAATAAAAGTGCAATTAGAGCTCGTTATACTTCTTTCACAGCTATAGGAGCTATTTAGAGCACCCGAGCTTTGTGCTCTTTGAGCTTCTGAAACTATGCTTACCTGTCAAAAATGCCTTGTGGAATCAGAAAGGGCTGCAGGATTTACCACTTGCTTTAGAAAATGATACATTTCTTCTGATTCTTAAGTAAAGAGAACCACAAGACCTGTCCATATCTAGGCAAGGTGAGGCTCCATTTGAGCCTCCACGAAGAAGACTCTTTTACATTCCATTTACACTTTTTGCTAGAAATTCAGAAAATGAAGATCAATCTATAGAGCACAGGAAGACCTGGCCATATTAGAAGGCCTCTGTCACTTAGAAGGTAGTAAAACATCTCTCTAGGTTAGTGAATTATGCTGTTAATTTAGCATATCTTAGCCTACTGAGTATTACTACATGCCAGGTACTAGGTGAAGCTCTTTATAGATGTTAAATTATACGATCCTCAGCCAGCCATGTAAAGCAGATATTACAAAAAGAGTTCATGCTACACTACTGTAGTCCCCTTCTACAGCTGAAGATGCTGAGGCTGAGTGAGGTGAAGTAACTTGCTGAAGGACACAACCAATAACTGTAGAGTCAGAAGTCAACCTGGATGTCTCAAAATAGTTACTAACTGCTACCCCATGCTGCTTCCTAAAAAGGGGTACTTTTAGGCACTTTCTTGTTCTAGTAATAACAGCACCCAATCCTCTTGACTTTTGAGATCATGTAAAATTGGGGGCACCCACAACACGGCAGCTTTCTGTTGCTGTGCGTGGTGCCAGACCCAAAGCAAACATTATCCTTAGCGCCCAGCAGAGATGCTGGACAGCGAGAGCAACCAAACAGCAAAATGCCTAGCAGCCGGCCTATGGGAAGGATTCCTAGGTTAGGGCATTACACATGCAGCAGAAAATGCAAAACAAGAAATTGCTTCATGTTCCAGTGACTTGGGTATTTTAAGTTGTATGGTTTCAACTCAGTTGCTGAACTCATCACGTTTTTATAAAAACAACCTAAGGCTCAGAAGACAAACCCTTTTCCACAGACTTTCATTCCCTTGCCCTTGTCTGGACACGGCTGAAAGACATGAGGCGAAGGACAGGGAGCATCTCTTGGTGGCTGGAAACTGTGAGAAGACCTTCACTGACAGGATTTGCTCTACAAATACAAGATTTGTCTCTCCTGCCTCCTGTTAAGGAACAGAACACACTGTAGGCGGCACCTCCAGGGAAAAGAGCTCGAGTAATGAGCACAGGAAATGGTTTTTCACTTAGGTAGCCATGTGCAAGGAACCCTGTAAAGCTAGGGGGAGAGCTCTGGATGGTACTAATGCAATCAGTGTTTTACAGAAGTGTCCTAGCATTTCAAGACTGTTAAACACATTGCACATGAGTCTCAGGAAGGGACACACAAAACAGCCAACCTATGTGAGGCAGTTACCACAAGTTTCACTGTATGAAGGAGTTCATGTCTAGGTATTTAAATCAATAGACTGAATGTAAGTTCCATGAGGTCAAGGATACAGTCTGTAGCAGTCTTTTTTTTTTTTTGTTCTCCGTTTTTAACTTTATTATTGCAACTCTGCCACTAGAATGTGGCTGGCATACAATAAATTATCAGTGGATAACTGTTGAGGAAATGAAGCTGCATGATCATAATTTCATAACAAAGAAGTGGCACATTTAGAACTTCTGACACAAAATGGCATGTTTGTAACAAAGCCACATAGGAAAAAGGGAAATCACCCTACGGAAAGTACAGGTCTGAGGACGCAGGGGGGAAGCACCAGAATCTGCTTCCCGAGAGGAAGGCCCCGATGAAATGAGTGCTAGTAGCACCGTGCAAGAACTTGGAATTTTTCAGTGTTTCCTAGTCTGCGAAGGAGCTAGAAAATGGGATGCACTACAGTTAGCAAAAAGTTCCTTGCGGTGAAATTTAGAGCCCAGTCATAATTTACATTTGCAGATATGCAGATCTCTAAGTGCACGGCTTCTGCCCTGATTACTAATTAATGAGGTGCAAAACTGCCTGCTGGAAGGAAACAGTGCTGATTACGTCAGTCTTATGGGACAGAGGAGCTCTGTGGTCTAAGGTGGCGGGCGATTCTTTAACATACATTTCAGTAAATTAAAAGAACAAAACCGGGACAGAAGGCTTATAGCAATGGAAGCAAAAACTTGAGAGAAATGTGGGCTCGCAACCCTCTAGTGTCTTGCAGAGGCAAATCCCAGTTATATCATGGATCTCATCAAATGCATATTTTTCAGCTATTGTACACTGACTTAATCAGCAGGCTGAATTCTGATGCAAATGTCCTGGTACAATTTAAAGAAGAGGGCAATAAAACAATCAGAGCAAATGGAAAAGGAAAAAAAATCTAGTCTCATTCTTAATGCACGATTCCTTTCCTGCTTATGTTCTCTTCCCACCCCTCAGGTAGCCACATATTATGTTAGGGGAGATAAACAAGGGCCAGACGCTACGGGGCCCTGCACCAGGCAAGCCCCAAGCAGCGAGACATGGAAACCATTCCTTGCAACAGTCTCTCAGATCTTTACAGTAGCGATAAGTGAGACAAGAGAATGGAGTGCGCTGATCACAGTGGGAAGGTTCCTGGGCCAGCGAGTTCCACATACCAGAAAGAAAAAGCAGCTGGGGAAGACTCTTTCCTTTCCCATCTCACTTTTGTTTTTAAAGTGTTGGGGATCTAACCCAGATCCTCCTGCACGCTAGGCAGGGCTTCTATCACTGAGTTGCAGCCCTCCCCCACCCGACTTTTTAATTTAAAGAAGCAGGTATTATTAAATGAGACAGTTGGTTAGCACCTACCGTTTGACTTCTCACTATCTGCAGGTTTCATTTGAATGGGATGATGCATCTAAAAACACAAAAGTGAGAAAGTAAAGGCAGATTGAACAACGGTAAAACCAACTTCAGAAATGTGACACTATTTCAGTACGGCTCTTATTAGAAGGGCATACACGTAATATGAAGACTTCTCCCAGGTAAAACTGTCTATTAAAGACCAAGCTTGAGTTTTACACTCAGCAGTATAACCCTTTTAGGTCAGAGGCTCTGCAACATCGTACTTCATAGCTTGGACTTTGGAGTCAAGCTTGAGTTCGAAACCTGGTTCTGCCACTCTGGCTGGCTGCTGCCTTCATCATGCAGATCTTTCTGCTTTTGCCGTTCGTTACAGCTATGTAACCCTGGGCTAGTGTTTTAACTTCTCTGAGCTTCAGTCTCCTTGTCTGTAAGATGGAGATAACACCTGCACGGAAGGGTTAAACAAGCAAGTTCTTCACACACACGCAGAACCTAAGGGTGCTGAAAAAAATTACTGTCATTGTACGACTACACACTTAAATGTGAATTTTTGTTTCTCTTCCAGCCATTCTAAGTTTTGTGAATTTTTCTGAGGTGTCAGGAGTGATCTGAAGAACTAGCACTGGATTGACTCAGGTGTCAATAAATCACTGTTATTAAATGCTAAATACAGAATAGGAATGCAGAGCCACTGAAAATTTGGAGGGAAGGAAAAAGCAAAGAGGGAGGAACGGTGGAAGGGAGACACGGACCTCACGATCATGAGCAGTACATATGCACGAGTAGAAGGAGCTTGAAACATGGGGCTGAGCTCCTGAATCCTGCAGACCTGCATGCTCTTGGTTCTCTACGCAATGCCGAACACACCCCTGTGCACAAGCCACAGAGTGTGCTCCGAGCACATAATGCTACCACCATCTCCAATTAAAATAAATTCCTGACACGACTTGCACAGGCCCTCCGGCTTCGAATTTCATCATGCCTAAGGATCACAGGAGCCACAGGGTGGGTGGGATCACCGGCTGTGCAAATGCTTTCATTATAGCGGGTTCCATCCTCTCTGAACCTCTGATTTCCCCAGCGGACTTCAATCGCTCGCAAGCCACAGCTCAGGGTTTTATCTAATTTAAATGAAAGAGGAATGGTACTTGGCTCTGGCACTTATACGATAGGAAATTATTATCGGGCAGACCATGTGTACCTAACGCCTGCCAGGGTCTTTAGAACACAAGAGGAAGAAGAGACAGGGAGGATCTCAAGGGATAAGAGGCTAAAATTTCAGAGCTGCTTTGATTCCTCTAAAAAGCATGATAATCTTATGCACAGAACACAGGCCTTGGGACAGCAAGTCTTCAATTTCCTACTTCATTTGTTCACATACTGAGTTTGTGGAGCCAAAGCTGCAGTGGGAATGGAATGTGTGGGGTCCTGCACGGCCAGTCTTTCCACAAAAAAGTGGAAAACATACCTTTAGAAGCTGGCACAAGTAAATGGTGAAAGCCCTTGATTTGGGCTGAGCGGTGTGGCCTCTATTCTATGTAATAGACAGGAGGACAAGATAAAACGTTTGGAGAAGACCGACAGTCTCGAGTGCAGTGGCCTTCTCACTGGCAGCATGCATCTGTCTGGCCATGCAGCAAGCATGGAAGAAAGAGCTCTCACAGGTCAGGCTCTGGGCTGAGGCCTGAGAACAAAGGCCGGGCGAGGAAGCTACTCCCCTTCAGGTGTGTGTGTGGGGAGACACTGCTGCAAACAGGCAGCTGAGCACCACGACAAGAGACGGGCAGAGGCAAGACAAGTGCACAGGCTCTCTTTCTGCCTGGCGAAGGTTTCCCAGGAGGAGCTTTCCAGCTCCAGTCCTCGGACGTGGCACTGGAGGAAGAGGGATGACAGGAAGCTCACAGGACAGCCCAGGCAGACATGCAGAGGTGAGAGAGCACAGTTCTTTCCCCTCAGGAGCGCATCATGTACCTGGGGAAGCAAGGAGAGAGGGGAGTTGAAGTGGTCAGCATCATGCGCCGAGAGGACCTCCGAGCCAAGGAACTGAAACTCTATCAAAAGGTCATGGTCAGGTGTAAAAGATTTAAGGAGCAAAGGCAAAAATATCAAATTTTCAGTCTCCGAAGGTCACTTTGGCTAAGCATGGAGGATGGGTTATGAAAAAGAGACACAGGAGGCAGGAAGAACAGTTAGGAGGCTACTAGCAACAGTCCAGGTGTACTGGCGACGGTAGAAGCGTCGGTAGTACCCGGTGGCTGTGGGGATGAGGGAGGAGAACAGGTCTGGACCCCTAGACGGGCTGTGGGAGGCAAGGCCCTCGCAAGGAAAGGAAGCAGGCGGTGTTGGGGGAGGCTGATGCGTGCAGGTCTGGACATGCTAAAGTCCTTGTGACTGGGATGTACAGAACAGCTGGAATGTGGGGCTGACGGCGGAGATGCCAGGGCTTTAAAGCCTACTGCGGGAGACGGCAGTGTAAGCCGCAGGCATTAGTGAAGCTGTCAAAGGAGGGTGAACAAAACCAAAAGCTGATGACAACCACGGAGAAGATGAGGAAAAACTGGCTAGAGAGGCCAGAGCAAAGGGGCCGAATCAGGAGCAGCTAGTTCCAATGGAGAGGCTGGGGCTTACCAGAGCAAGGGGACGGTCAGAGCAGGTGCCCCAGAGGCCACGATGAAGATGCCAACTATCTCTGAATCTGGCAAGTAAAAAAGTCTTCAGGGCATTTCTCAAGGCAGGGGCCAGAACTCCAGACGCAGGGAGTGAAGGAGCCAGGGAGAGGACAGCAGCGTGTGTGCTGATCAAGACTGCTATCTGGCGAAGATCAGTTGTGCAGGGGGGTACAGTACGATCAATGGAAGGTGGGAGCACAGAATGGGAGGGAGACTTTCCCTTCTTATGTGAGTTAGGGTACTAAAAATAGTCAGATGAGACACACGCATTAAACACAGAGGAGAGGAGCTAAGTGCATCCACTTTACTTAGGGGACACAAAAAAGGAACGCATACGGCTGTTGCCCTCAGGGAGGGAACAGTCCACTGTGGTGGTTAACGTGGATGCATTTTTAAAAAGCTGTTGACAAACGTCAGAAGAAGAGCACAGGCAGCAGATACGAACATTTAGGTGTATCGGCAAAGCGTATAGCTGACTGGAAGAGAAATCTAAGAGCAAGAAAGGCAGCATCATTCTACACTAAAGCTGACAAGGGCTCTGGAAATCACAGTCCAGTGCTCGCGGTTTACAGGTCTGGAGGGGATCCAGACTCCACTAAGGACACACAGCTGGTTAGTGATAGAGTCGGGATCGGAAATCTAATCTCCCTTCTCTTAATCCAGTGACAACTCCCTTCTATCACACTGCTTCTCCACAAAATGCCCAGCATTGGACATATGGGTCTTCAGTTAACTGCAGGTTTCACTCACTGAAGGAGTGACACAAACACTTGTTTGAAGATGCAGGCAATATCCCCTTAGCTGAACGTAACCTTCTTCCTCTAAACTCCCATAATACTTTATCTCTATAACTACAGTCAGACTTCACACTTTCCCTTCTTACAGCAGCTCAGTTTCTGACCGGAGACTGTCTAGAAGGCTCAGGGAAGTGTGGCCTCTATTCTACGCTACTGTCACTGTATGCCTAAACTGTTTTGGTCTTCATCCGCCTGAGGTGGGCAGTGGGGTGAGGGAGGTGCAGATCTATTTCTTAGAGACCTGGACCGTCAGACCCTGGTGAATTCTGAATGGGTGGTCATCATGATATAAACATGTTCTGAAGACAATTTAGATAATGTATGTGAAGCACTGTGACCTTCTTCGAGAAGGTGTTCAGTCAGTACTGCATTAAGAATGGCTCATTATCACGAGCAATTCATTTACAAATTTCTGATCACATACAGGGTATAAAAGTCAAGGAAGACAAAAATGGTGTGGAGGAGTCACTCTTATAACGCTTCATTTCCTCAAGATCTTATGACTCCACAAACTTTGGGAGATTTCTTGAGAGGTGCAGGGAAATCACGGCAAAAAAAGAGGGCTTTCTAGTTTAAAGTTTCAGCCTATAATAAAGAGTCTTTCCCTGCAGCTGAGCGGGTTTCCAAGATTTGATCCAGTATGACTCTGGGACTACCCATCCATTCAACTGTTTCTGCTTCTAGCAGACCCAAGGTTAGCTGCTGGGAATGCAAGGACAAAAAGTCCTCATCACGGTGCAGCTTGCAGTGACAGTATGGACGGACACAGCAACCATTTCCCAGAGTACCGGCGATGCTGCGCTGAGACATGTGGTGTGGGACCCTAGAGAAGAGTGCTGAACACAGACTAAGGGAAGAAACTGGAGAAGGCGCCCCAGATAGACCAGTGTTTGAGTTCCTTATTGTATTAGCCAGGAGATGTGCGAACGACGTTTCAGGGAACAGAATACCTCCTCACAGGCACAGAATATGAGAAAATAGGTCGCACTGTCACTAAAGCATGGTGACACGGCATTCTACCCAGTAGAGGAAACAATAATAGTTCTTAAACATCATTCTCAAAGAGTTCCAAAAATCCTCAAAACCTAAAACACAGTAAGACTAATAAGAGAGGATTATAAGGTGTAATAAAAAATGGTAAATGCCTAAGTTAGAAAAAATTATTGTAGTAAAAGACACACTGCCATTAATCCCCCTCAAATATCCCCCTGCCTTCAAATACTAACCTACCATTCCTGCCACTTTCATGAACAGTTCTGGAAGTCCTCTTTAACTGAGTGTCTTTAACTGAGCTGTTGTGGCTGCCTCGGTGTCCCAAACTGATTCAAGACATTTACTTTTCATGGTTATTTTAACTTTGGAGAAGAGCCTGAAGTCACACAGTGAATGAGGGGTACAAGGTCACAACAGCGTTTTTACAAGCCCGCTCTTCTGCTGGATGGGACTGTATTTTCACTATATTCACTATATTCACTGTATTTCACTATATTTCACTATATTCACTATATTCACTATATTTCACTATATTCACTGTATTTCACTATATTCACTGTATTTCACTATATGTCACTATATGTCACTATATT